TCCCTTTATCACCCTATTTTTGGGTTGTATGTGTGGGAGGAGTTGTATTTATTTATTTATTTTGCAGAAGTCATCCCAAATTGTTGCATTCTGCATAATAAATAGAAATTATGATGAAAAATTTGCAGGAAATCTACATCAGAGCTAATATTTGCTAATGCTGTTTCAAGAATGGTATCATTGAAGTGTAAATGACCTATTAAGCAAATTGTTGGAACAAAACACAGGAGCCCATACAAATGAGGACTCTAACTACTGTTGTAGCTGTGAGTTTTGCATGATACTCAGTTCTTCAAAAACCTCTGGTTTATGAATTTGCACGATATTCAATTCTTCAGAAACCTCTGGTTTATGAATGTAGGGTATTGTGCTTCTGTATCTACAGTTCAAAATGTCAGCAAACAGACCAGTAGTGCTGCACAGCATCATGTCAATGCTGTCAGCAAGAAAAAAGATGCCAAGCTTTATATGGCCACAGGCACCCTGAATGCTGACAAACAATTGGCTGAAGGCAAGATGGTCTACATAATATCCTTATGTGCCCATTACTAGAGATAGGAGCTTTGTACTGTATTTGGCCACAGGCACCCTGAATGTTGACAAACCATTGGCCGAAGGCAAGATGGTCTACAGAATATCCTTATGTGCTCACTACTAGAGATAGGAGCTTTGTACTGTATTTGTAGACGAATATGAAGACTGCCAGCACGGGTGGCTGGCCCGATTACCTCCTGACCCAGAAGACCGTGGGTCAACTTACAGCATGGTACACATGGCCGGCATCATTGTCAGCAAGCTAATAAGCAGCAGTAGCCTGCTACCACAGCCCCATCTCTCTGCTCACCAGGCCACTCTGGCAAGGGGGCGGGAGGTCAAGTCTCCTCACTCAGCTATGGAGCGGTGGGGCGAGCAGGGAGACCGGGCGGCAGCATCGAGGCTACTGCACCAATTGGCTTGGTGACAATGATTCTAGTCACACACACTTTGCACTGTGCTGTAAGTGGGCCAGTGGGTTCTGGGGGCAGGAAGTAATCAGGCCAGCCACCTGTGCCTGTGGGCTTTGTATTCAATATGAAGCCCTTATCTCTGCTCACTACCATTCACAAAGTGACACCAAGCAAAGGAAAATCCCTGACGCTGACTCCTTTTTTCATCAGTTAACTCAAAATAAAGCAATTGTCAGGGTTGTTTTTCAGCAAGTATGAAGGTAGTGAGCACAATTTTTTCTTCACTTCCTCAGCCCCTCCATGGAGAGAAGGAAGTGTTTAATTTGCCAATATCCTGAAGTAACTCTCTTCTCAATATTAAAAGAGGAAGGCTCACTTTGGTTCACTTCTAGTGAACTCACAAGCTGGAAACAGACCAAAACAGAGTGACTCTACCCACATCAAAACAGTAGAAGCCCTTGACAGGGGCCAGAAGGGTGTGCCTAGGAACACCCTGAAGGTGGGCTGGTTTGCTCCAGCAAAGAAATCATCTGACTGCTGTCTTTTGGAACAAATCAGCCACTCCCTGCAGCAGACCAAACAGTGTAATAAATGTATTCTGTTGGAGTCTGATTCTGATTTCTTCATCGTATTGACCTAGATGTAGTGACAAAGCCTGTAGAGTTCCTAATGAAAACTGAGTAAAAAAAAAGAGGCTGAAACTAAGTACTAATTATCTAAAAAGAGCTGAGTAAAACTTGTTGGTAGCCCTAAAAAGACAAACCACTAACATGTTGGGAACTCCTTCGTTTCACCTTTTGATGAAGATAAATTTTCATTTCCACCAGGGTGATGTTATGCATGTTATTCTGACAATTAATCAGTTAAACATAATTCAACAGAAGTAAATGAGCTAACAATCTTTTGACTAAACAGCAAGCTGGGTGGTTTTATTGCCTTTCTAGTATTTTCACTTGTATTTGTTTCAGCTAGCATTTCTGTGTTCTAATTCAATGCTTGGAGTTTCAACCATGAATAAAAGAAATAGAAACAGAAAACAAGAAAAGCATTTTACACTGCCCGGCTTGCAAAGGATAAGTAAAGGAAATGAATGCACCATCCATCAAGAAAGAAAAAGGCAAAGGGGGAAAATACACAAATCTTTGCTTCATCTCAGCAGCCCCAGCTGTGCCAATTTGGCTTAGTAGAATTTGGAAGCAAACTGTATGGGGTTGCTTGACGAGCTTGTTTGCATGTCAATGTCCAGAAACATTTCCCTGTTCACAGTAATATCCTCTCAGAGCTAAATCTGAGCTTTGAGAACAAATTGAAAAGGTTGGGTACCCATTGGTGTATTCTTTTTCCTATTCTCTCTCTCTCTTTGGGTGCTTCTTGATGCACACTCCTAATCAAAAATCATTGTGCCGCTCTTCCATTTCCTTGTACTGAACACATTTACTGTGATATAAAAGTGATGGAGAAGGAGAAGGAGAAGGAGAAGAAGGCGGTGGGGGGGAGGGCAGCAGGAGTGAATAAACACAGAAGGCTAACAAATGTAAGATTTGGACCTCCCATGTAATTCTAACCATGAGGGTAAAATGTTGTACAAAAAAGGACATCAGGAAACTGTCTCTATTATATTCTGTTGTGTAGTGTAATTCAGCCAGGACTTGTAGGTTCAAAACCCCAAGATATTCTGCTTAGTAGCAGCTATACCCTGGACATTACTCTGCTTGCTCTAAGCTTAGCTGCAATTTTCCTTGTAGCTGAGGGAGAAAAGGGATTTCCTAGAACAATATTTTGTTTGAAGCAATTCCTGTTGCAGTGCAGAGTGTTCGAGAATGGGTTGGTCTTGAACAGACATGTAAAAGTTGTGAGGTTTGTAAAAGACCTCCCCCAGTGGAAACAAAAAGTGGTCAGACACATTTGTTGACATGCGTTAGTCCAGCTGTCTGTATTCCTTGAGACTGTGTGGGGAGTGGCTAAGGCAGTGCCATGATGATCATTTGCAGCTCCAAATTTATTGCTATGTCACTGAGTCAAATACTGTATACAAATCAAAACCAAAACCAAAACTACACACACATTCAGAATAAGAAAGTGTTCTGCCCTTAGTTTCACACAGGCATTTTATTTCCGTTTTGAGTTATCCTGAGTGGGAAATTGGTGGTGGTAGCTGAAGCAGCGCTGCTAGATTTGATAGAAGTCTTTAACTCATGTTGCCTGAGATGTATGAGGAAAGGAAAAGTCGCAGGACACTGAGTTATCGCTGACAGTAAAAACCAACCTTTCCTGTTCAGATGATGAGTTCTGTCTCTTTATAGTCAGCCTTGTTGCTTACACATGCAGTTTGTTGCCTTCTTTGCAAAATAAAGCCTGCTTTATCGGACCTTTTAATTTTATGATTCCTCAAGCAGGATCATCAGAAAAGCTTTCAGGAAATTCTAGTGGCAATTAGAAATGCTGGAGAGAAAATTCCTGTTGTGAGCCTTTTCTTTTTGTGGATTTTTTTTTTGTTTCGTTTCCCTATTCTCTCTTATCAGCTAGTATTTGGAAAGTTACTTATTGAGACTACACCTCCCAGTGAGCTTGCTGACTAGGGGATTCTGGGACTTATAGTCCAAAAACATAAGTATTCCAAATGCTTTAGGGTTTTCTTCATGGTCTACGAATACTTATTTCTGCAATTTAGTCAGAAGTTTACATGCTATGTTAAGTTGTCCATAGAAATAATTTTATAGAGATATGCTGTATTGCACAGGAATGCAAAATGCTCTCCCACAAGATCAGTGCAGAAATTTATATTCTGACACACTTTTCATTAGACATATACCTCTAAGAGCTGAAATAATTTTCCTCCCCAAATTTCTCTTTGCAAATTTTGCTGTCACATATTCTCCAGACGTTTCTTGCATTAGGGGGTGTGGTGGCACTGCGAGTTAAACTGCAGAAGCCTCTGTGCTGTAAGGTCAGAAGACCAGCAGTCGTAAGATCGAATGCACACGACGGAGTGAGCCCCCGTCACTTGTCCCACTCCTGCCAACCTAGCAGTTCGAAAGCATGAAAATGTGAGTTGATAAATAGGTACCACCTCGGTGGGAAGGTAACGGTGTTTCGTGTCTAGTCACACTGGCCACATGACAACGGAAACTGTCGTTGGACAAACGCTGGCTCTACGGCTTGGAAATGGGGATGAGCACCGCCCCCTAGAGTCGGACACAACTGGACTAAATGTCAAGGGGGACCTTTACTTTAACTTCTTGCATTGTCAGATATTTTTGGAATAATTTTTTATCTGCATAGGATTCCAAGTAATATTTCATTTCATATTTTATAAATGCTAGTAAATGGTAGTCAGCACAGAGCATGCTAATAGTTTATCTGCAATGGCATATTATCATTATTTGTAAACTTCCTATTTTCTGCATAATGAAATGACTTAAGGTATCCTTCCCAATACCTACTATAAGCAGTAAGATGTCATCCAGTGGGTTCTCGGAAAAAGTACTTGTCACACACACCCAGTTCCCCTGTTTGTTCTTCCACACAACCCAGGTTCACTTTCAGGCATGTCATTTATTTCTCAACCCTTTTCCGTTGCCACCAGAGGATTTATTCCTCACTCTATTAAATATGACTCTTAAATCACAGTTCTTCCATATAACAATGTTTATTTATGTGTATATCAGTAAATCATGTAAAGCTAATCACAGATGGTCTTATTTTATTCATTCAATCAACTGTGCTTTTATAACATTTATATTTGCTTATGTATAATCATGTTCCTCAAGGTATTTATTCATTTCTTATCTTGTTCTCTATCTCTCTATTCTTCTCTAACACAAGACTGGTCCTAACTGCCTAAACTGCTTCTACTATCTTTAACTGAAGTCCCTAACTCTAACTCATATCCCTTACTCATCCCTAACTGATCTTTAACTGTCTTCCATTCTTCTTATATTTCCTTAGTTCCGCCTCCTCTGTACAACCATTGGCTCCTGAATCAGGGTTCCATTGTGATAGACAGGAGTGGTCACTGACCTGTCCATCATATTACTCTCATGCAGCTTCCAATTCCTGCCCTCACATCAGCATTCAGCACACTGGTAGGTTATGACACACTCTGTTCTCCTCTCTCAGAGGAATAGAGGAATATTTTGAGGAGCATACTCAGTAAGTACAGAACCAGAACCAGTCCATATACACTACATATGCTGTTTGAAATTTATTGAGTTTTTGAAATTATTTAAATCAGGGGTCTCAAACATGCAGCCCAGGGGCCATTTGCGGCCCGCCGGATGATAGTTTGTGACCCTCGCCCTGCCTGCCACCCCTGAAGCGCCCACGCGTCCTCTGCTGTCAAGAGTCAAAAAAAGCCAAGCCTCGCTTGCCAGCTGTCTCCCAAGACAGCGCCTCTTGCACCCTCCATCTGGAACTGCAGCTTGCCAGCCAGCGTGCCTGTCTGCCGGGCTGCAGTTCTGGATGGAGGGTGCAAGAGGCGCTGTCTTGGGAGAGAGCCAGTGAGCAAGGCGCACTGCTAGCCCTTTTCCCCGAGTGGCTGAGCCACCGCCGAGCCATGCTTGAGAGCGGAGCTCACTCCCGGCCCGTCCTCGAAGAGCGCCTCCAAGTCAC